CAAGGCAAGTCCAAAATCCAGAAGGGCAAGCATTAAGTCCTGTAGTTCCATGTGGAGCATCCAAAACAACCTGTAATGAGTTGTGAGCTCCAAAAGCCCTACATGGTTCCACCCCATGGCACTCCTGCTGGTAGCTCCCATGACTTTTCTCTGGGGCTGGCTTTGCTTTCTCCTCACAGCTCTCCTTAGACAATCCACATCCCTGGCTTTCTTAAACTTCTGAGGTTTTCACTGGATAGGCTTTTCACTCACAGCTTTATACACTGCCCTCTCAGGGGCACATTGCTTGGCCTCCCAGGCCTTGTAAGAAGCATTGTTAACCTCAGAGCTCTAACATTCTGCATGCGCCTAAAACTAATGCCACATGGATAATGCCAAGGGCTGCTATCAGTTGGAGCAGTAGCCAGGGTTTTTTCTCTCTTGACTGTAGGGGTTGGGTGCCTAGATTTTTGAGCACTCTGAAAGGGTCACCTTTTGAAAGGACTAGCATGTGTGGCAAGCTCTGGGGGCACCAGCTGGAGGAGCAGGCTTCAGAATTGTGCTGGTGCTGCTCAGTGTCAAAAAGGTGCAATCCCTCACCCCAAGAAAGGACAGGGAAGAGATTTAGATGGGTGTCACTGACATAGGAATGCCAATCTGGAAAGGGTGTGTACTGATCCCACTATATAACATTCTGGAAAAGGTGTGTTTTCAGCCTCAATTTATACACACCATTGACAAGTCTAAACATTTTTTCTTATGAAAATAACATGTATCTTTTTATCACAGAAGTTCTTCAATGGAAAGATAAATTCTTCACCTGAATTCTACCACTTCAGAGAGACAGCTAATACTGAAAGTTTGCTATCTGACTTTCCGTTATTCACCTGGGTGCCCATGTACAGGACATGCGTACATCTTTATCCAAATATATGCCGGATATACTTTTTTATGCATTGTGTTTGTCCACTTATTAAAATTCTATGAACATTATCCTGTTACTAAAGATTCTTACTCAATACTTTTTTCACACAATAAGCTTTTGTTCAAAAGCTTATTGTTCAAAATTTATGTTTTTCCACCTCTCCCTTTTAGCTTATTTAGTGAATGTGTTTATGACTAAAGGTTAAGAAATTGCATAGCTGAGTCCAGAGCTAAGTAGATTTTAGAGATTACTGTTCATTGTGTGTAAATCACAATCTGTACTCATACGGGCATTCTGTCAGCAGGGGAGGTAGGAGAGAGTCTTCTCCCCCAGCTCATCTTTGTTTATTTATTTATTTATCTTTTTTGTGTGTGTGCAGGGTCCCACTACACAGCTCGGACTTGTAGTGATCCTCCTGTTTTCTGTCTCCCTAGTGCTGGGATTACAGGCGTAAGCCATCACTCCTGGGTTCCATCACTGACTCAGCACGCATGGGGGTGGGTCGGCATGGCAGGCAGTGCAGGGATCGAACCCTGGGCCCTGCACTTACCTAAGCAAGCACTTAATCCACTGAGCCATACCGCCAGCCCTAAATAACTTTTTTTTTTTTTTTTTTTTGTACTTCAGGGAAGGATCTACAGGGTGTTCAGGATCTCACTACTAGATCAGACTCATACTGATCCGCCTGTTTACAGCCTCCTAAGAGCTGGGATTACAGGCACACACCACCATGCCTAGTCTCAATTGCTGTCTCAGTGCACCCTGGGAGAGGGCAGCACAGCAGGCCCCGGGGATTAAATCCCCAGCCCCTACGCCTGCTTGCTGGCACTTTAATCTGCTGAGCTATTTGGCAGGCCCCATCTTTGCTAATTTAGCAGTTCCCAAATGGCTTTCTGCTTTGTAGACTGTTCTTTGACCACAGTGAAAGTGAATATTTGTTGAAGTGTTCACTGACTAAAATTTTCTTTTAAAACAGTTTGTGCCTTTTCACATAGTTGTCTATTGAGGTTCCTCTTTTCCACTCTGACTTATAAAACCATTTTAAAAACAAATTCTTCTAGCCGTATCATGTAGAGTTTGCGTCTCCTCTCCATCTTGGCTCCATTGGTAGTGGGCTTTGGGCAGCCATTTGACACTTTCGTATTTTCTGCATTTTTTAATGTAATTTACCAGACAATAATGTGGCTTTAGAGTTTGCTCACCTTAAAGAGCTTTCTAAGGAGAGATGAACCCTCCAAACCCCTCCAGAGCATACTATGCTCATCCAGTGGAGACAGCAGTATGATGGTAGTGCCCTGAATGTTTCTATGGCTACCTCAGAGAACTATAAAGAACAGTTAATTTTATTTGTTATCAGGCCCTTATGAAACTTGGCAAATGTTCAGCTTGTAGGCGAGAATATCCAAGCCAACTCACAAATTTCTATGCGGCTGGCTACAAATTATTGAGATGTTTTTAAATCTATCTAAAAGAACTCTGTCTTGAACACTGAATTACAACTCATCTCACAGACTGGAGAGCCTCTGATGGTTTGGTCTCTAGGTCACATGATCCAGCTGGAGAGTCAAGGTATGCAAAGCCATGTTTTAGAACAAAAGAATATTTTTCTCTAGCCAGTAAGTAAATGTGATTTTTTTTTTCAGCTATAAAAGGACAAAAGGTTTTGAAATGATCCCACAGGGCAGGGTTTCCTAGACTTGTTTTTCTGGAAGCTGGCCATTGGACTAAGCCGGAGTCTTCCAAACTTCTTCCATTTTTGTAGCAGTGTGAAGAATTCACTGGCTGAGCCCAGAGCCTCTTTCTGGAGTGATGAATGCCCAGGATCCTCTTAACCTCGAGGCGGCCACAGCTGGATGTCTACCAATGGCATCAGTAAGCCATGGGTCAGTGTGGATTGAGCACTGAAGATATGGTCCCTTTTCCTTTTGAATTAGCTACTTTTACTGCTTTCTCAGGGTTGTATGTTTTCCTCTTTGAAGAAATACACTTAATGCTATAAATATAACAGGAATGGTAAATGGTCCCTAGCTTTACTGAGAAGTTAGAGATGTTGAACTCATACGTTATTTCACCCCATGTTTAAAGTTTTAACAGCTCCATACACATATTGCCCTTGTTAATTTTCTGTGTGTGCTTAATAGTCCTGCAAATGAGAATGCTGTGGTCCTTTTTCATTGTCCTTTTATAGGAAGAAATGATCTACCTTTTGGTCCCAGGCTATTGCTACAGTCAGGTAAAAAATTATGTAAATGGCTAGAAATAATTCATCTCAAACTATGTACCCAAAAAGCAGTCCCATGTAGGTGTTTTAGATGAATTACTAATAACAAGATTAACAGCAACAACCAGGTGTGATATCCCAGTTACAGTTCTAGATAACTAGTGATACTTAGTTCCTGCAAATAAATGCACAGGGCAGGGATATTATCATCCTTATATTCCAGATGACTACAAAAAACAGTGGTAAGTATCTCAGCCAGGATCTGCACATGAACAATCTGACCATACGCCTTACTCCTTTACTTATTAAGTTGATACCACAATGTCCCAAGATTGGTGGTGGTGTCATCATTTTATAGATGAGAAGTTGAGGGTAGGGGTTAATAGCTTTGCAATAACTCCTCACATACCTGGAGAATAGCAGCAATTAATTGAAATCTTGATTCTGAAATCTTCATGCTTTTCTCATACTATGGCATGTTCCCCTGAATTTAGAGTTTAATCTGCTTCAGAGCAAGCTTATGATTGGTCAAGACACAGATGCTGGAGGGAAGGGGTTGGTGGAACACATCCTTCTAGATTCCGCTTGCACAGAGAGACACTCATTTAGACTTTACTTTGTGTGAATGGCACAGAACAAACTGCGTCTCTTCCACATACATGGCTGTAGGAATAGGCTTTCCAACTTATTCCTGCCTCTGGGACTTTGCATTTGCTGTCCTTCAGTTTGGAACAGTGTGTCTCCCAGCTGTGCTGTGCCCGACTCCTTTGCAGGTGTCAGTTCAAATGCCATCACCTTGGTGGTCCCAGCCTTAAAGTTCTGTTCTCGTCCTCTGCAGCTTCTGCAATGAAGCGCCACCAACTGAGTGGATTAAAACAATAGAAATGTATTCTTCCATGGTCCCGGAAGCCAGCAGTCTAAGGTGTTCATGGGGCTGTCCTGCCTCAGAGGGTTCCCAGGGAGGCTCCTTCCTCGCCTCTTCCATTTCCAGAGGCTCCTCAAGTTCCCTGGCTCATGGAATTGTAATTCCTGTGTCACTCTCTGTCTTTATGTACTTGTGCCTCTGTGCTTCTCCTAAGTCTTCTTTCCTTTTTATAAGAACATCTGTCATTGAATTTAGGGCACTCCTGGAAAATCCTTTTGTGTGTGTGTGTGTGTGTGTGTGTGTGTGTGTGTGTGTGTGTGTGGTACCTGGGATTGAACTCAGGACTTTGCACTTGCCAGGCAAGTGCTGATGCCGCTGAGCTATGTCCCTGGCCCCTCACACTCAGATAATCCATGGAGATCTCATTTCAAGATCCTGTCTTGCAGAGACCATTTCCCCAAATAAGCTTCAGGAGACTGTCGTGTCGGGGCCACCATCCAACCTTAGCTACAGCAGTCTCCGCAGCCATCGTACTCTGAGATTAATTTTTACCTTATTGCTTCAAAGCACTTGTCCTTATTTTATGCATCTTGATCTTTCTGTGTCTATTTCGTTTTTGCCCATCTCTGTTGTCTCCAGTTCAGACTTTATAAATAAAAAGCTGTCATGTCCACTGCTATATCCATAGGATATACAATAATGTTTGGTTTATTGTAGGAATCACCAAATAGCTATTGCATAAATGGATGAATTAATGTTACAGTTAGGCTTATGAGATATCAACTTGGCTCCTTGATTCTTTTAACCATTTCCATTTTTGTTATTTTATGTTTTTTGAATTATAGTTGAATAATTTTGGAAAATCAAATGTATGATGGGACACAGTGGGTAGATATATCCAGCCATTTCCATGTAACACTCAATTCCTAACTTGTCTGGTTAGTTCCTTTCATTTTTGCTCTCCCACTCCCAGAAATGAATCCTCAATGGAGTATTTCTTTCTCCCTTAGGTTCTGATCACCTACGTGAGAAGGATGGCCTCTGGGCTGTCTTGGTCTGGCTTTCCATTATCGCTGCCCGGAAGCAAGGTGTGGAGGAAATTGTTCGAGACCACTGGGCCAAATATGGTCGCCATTACTATTGCAGGTGAGAAGGGAGGGCCTCTGCAGGCACCTGGGCAATTACGCTTAGGCTCTCTTTAAAACAATGGGCTAGAACTTTTAGGAGGAGGCATCTTTCAGAAAAATCTGAAAGTGCAGAAGCTGGATTAACCCAAAAGATGTTTGGGGGTGTGGGATCAAAAGCAATTAAAATAGAATGCACAAATTTTCCCTCCCTTGGTGATATCTCACTGTCATCTTTTCAGCATTGTCTAGTAGGTAGGCTACATCCCAAGAGCTGAAGTTAATGGCAGAGCTTTGAAAACTCCTTTGATTGCTGTGATGGTTGTAAAAATCATAGTCAAATTGGTTGCATTTCCTGGGGGTTTTCCACCCATATTTATCAAGAAAGGAGACTATGGAGGACTTTTGTCTGTGGAGGACAGACAAAAGCTATTGCTAGTTGGGGTGCTCTTGTAATCTCATTTCAACCTTTGCCTCTTCCTCTTCCTCCTCTTCCTCCTCCTCCTCCTTCTCCTTTTTCTTTTTCTTTTTTTTTTTCCAAATGTATTTGGTACAGGGTCTCACTAGGCAGCTCGGACTCGTAGTGATCCTCCTGTTTTCAGGCTCTCCAGCACTGGTATTACAGGTGTGCAGCACCACACCCAGACTTGGTGCCAGCTCAGCTGGGGACCAGTGTGGCATGTTGTACTAGGGATCAAACCTCAGTCCCTGTACTTGCCTAAGCAGATGCTTAGTCTGCTGAGCTACCTCACTGGCCCACCTTTGCCTTGTCTTCTGACAAATGTCCAGAATGTCTAAGGTGGTATTCTTTGAAGGAACCACATGGTCCACGAACCCCAAATTTTGCTAGAGGTTTACTTTCATAATGAGACTCAGAAAAGGAGAATATTAATTAGCAAGGAGGAAGATAAAAGCTCAGTGTATAAATGCTTAGGGTAGTTAATGTCTACCCTTTCCCTGTTGGTGAATTGACAGAGTATTTTAGGTGGCTAGGTATATGAACCTAATTATGCAGGAATGTGATACTAGTTTCAAGCCATAAATTAGGGAAGAGGGGTGATGGGAAAGGATGGAAATTGTAGAGAAATTGGGGTAGGGTCAGGAGATTTTGGACATCTCAGAGAGTCTGTATATTGAAAACATATCATGGCTTATTTTGCTTTGATTTTGAATATATAATTAACTGCTTTAGGTATTTGGTTGAGTTTCAAAAGCTTGAGATCAGAAAGAGAGCTTTAGATTCTTCTCTTATAAGGTGATAGTTTCCTATCTTAAGAAGTAGTTAACTGAGACAAGTATCCGAGAATAAGGAAGACTATCTAGTTTTATTAAACTTAAGGAGATTTGAATGTCCTGGAAAGTGTAGACAACCTTGTAATGTTCTTGATTCTTGTTTAGTTAGGAAGGTTGGGAATGTGATAGCCTGATAACCACCTCCTATTATTCATTGCATCAGAAAATCAAGATTCTCAAGGCACACAAGAATTTGTCCAACTCATAAGTATATTTAATAAGTGCCCAATCCCCCTAATTTTTGTGGAATTGTGTACGCATGCATGTACATATGTGGTTTTGCTGTTTGGCTTTGGTAGGCCAAGGGGTCACCAACAATGAAATCCTTCTATTCCATGGAAAACTCTTCCAAAAATTCAACCAGCTTCTGAATCTCTTTCAATGCCTTGGTGTCTCCTACTAGACTCTATATCATTATTGCCAAACTCTGGTTTAATGTGGTCAGAGATGTACTCATAAACTGTAGAGTATTATTTAAGTTTCTGCCGGTGTTTTATACAAATGGTGTTATAAGTGTATTTATAATATAGTTTATTTTTGTGGCCAAGAATTTATATGCTAATTACATATGTCATAAAAAGTACCATGTTAGAGAATAATGTGCTATGGAGATTTGATTTCTTCTAGGACATTAAATTACATTTCAGATTTCTGTCCAAAAAGATCACAGAGAGAAAGAGAAGGGAAGAAATAGATAGAATGAAAAGATGAATGTTTCCTTTGACACAAGCAAATGGCCAGATGAAATGTTTGTAAAATAAAATGACTCCTTGCCTGACAATTTTTGTGATAGAGAATAAATAATAAAACAATTTCAGCTTAACTCATACTGAGTCTGAAGTTATACCTGGGAAAAAATCCTGCAGGCAATTTGCTTTGCTTGAGTTGACCCTAGAAGGAGTTCTCTATTTAAAGTAAGTGTTGGTAGTGGCCAACACGAGCATTTGGGCTGGTGAAGGGGAGGTGATCTCAGAGCTGCTTGGGCCTGAAGATGAACATTTGGGCAGGCTGGTCTATACACGGTTCATCCTATCTCAGTGGATTTTTCCTAGCTTCTGAATCACTTTCAATGCCTTGGTGTCTCCTACTAGACTCTCCTCTCCTTCCTCCTGTCCCTTTCTGTTTGGGCTGTTTTCACCTTCCCCAAATGACTGTCATTAAAGAAGATCAGAACACTTGTAATGAGAACATTCTAAGGGGCTCCTTATTGGTCTGTTTCTGAGGCTTGGAAGGAAACAGCTTGTGTAGAGGAAGAGAAAAAAGAAAGGGATGGAGATGCTGGGATTAATTGCTAGACGTGGTATCACCCCATGTCTTCCATCTTGGCCAACACCCTCATGTTTACGGAAAAGCTCTCCAGTGGAAAAAAATGGTAACATCTTCTCAGAGCTTCCTTCTTTCACTTCACTCCAAGAATGCACGCCCTTTCTCTGTGTCGTGAGATCCATCCACAGCCACTTAGGCACTGCCACCTTTCCTTAAACATGCTTTCCTGGGTGCACCGTATGGTCTGTGTCAAGACTATCTGATGTTGAGAGAGATAATCCAGTTTCTTTATGGCAGTGACTGAGGATAAATTGTTTTTAAGCCCTGGTGCCTGATGCTGTGCTGGCTGATTAGTGTGCATTATCACACTTTAAGCTTCAAAACAATAAATAAGATAGGGATTATTTTTATTCTTCTTTGTTTCTAGTCACCTCCTAACCCTATTTGTATCTGTTTTATTTGTTGCTCTTGGAGAGACGGTTTTTGAATAGAACAATAGTGGCAGCTCTTCCAAGTTTCCAAGAGAGATTTTTAGTATGCTTGGTCAACTTCTCCCTCTGTCTCTCATGATAACTATCTCCTTCCTTCCATTCCTTTCTGTCTTCCCATTACCATCTAGACTGTTAGCATCATAGTACATTCTAGAACTCTAGAAAATAAGAGAGCTAAGGTCTTTGCCCTCTTGGAGCTCATATTCTGCTGGGCAAAGCCAGACAATCAATAAGTAACCAAATACACAAAAAATAAATACAGACTGAAATAACTACTATAAAAATGTAAAGAGTGATAAGAGCATGTTCTCTCTCTCTCTCTCTCTCTCTCTCTCTCTCTCTCTCTCTCTCTCTCTCTGCTTAGATACCTGGTCACTTTCTGGAGGGGACATTAGGTTTAAAGATTTAAGGGCAAGAATAAGTCAGCTTTTTGAAAGTGTAAGAGCATATGAGCTAGAATCAGCAAGCAGTAAGAGCAAAGGGCCAGGGGCAGGAGAGGGTGAAAGGCCACTGAAGGCCAGAGAAGAGGTCATAGTGGCTATAGTGAGTGAACAAGGTGAAAAATGGAACAAATTCAAGTCAAGGAGGTGAGCAGAGGCAGATCCCATAGTGTCATAGACCGATTTGAATTTTGAATCTTGTCCGTGAAATGATAGGTGTTTTGAGAGAGTTAAAGGCAAAGAGCAATGTGCCTTGATGCAGTGTGAAGGCCAGATTGTAAGGGCTGGATGGAAGATGGGAGGCCAGTGTGGTTACTTCCTGTGCTCTCCTTTCCTGAGCTCAGAACCAATGATAGATGACTATGAGGCGGGCACACGATTGCTAGTTCTCTGACTGGGTTTTTATTCCTGTGTCCTGCCTTCATTCACTAGGTTTGACTACGAGGGCCTGGAGCCCAAAACAACATATTATATCATGAGGGACCTGGAGGCTCTGGTCACAGACAAGGCCTTCATTGGCCAGCAGTTTGCTGTCGGAAACCATATCTACAGTGTCGCGAAGACAGATAGCTTTGAATATGTGGACCCTGTGGATGGCACCGTGACCAAGAAACAGGTATGTGCGAGGGAATGATCGAAACAGGTTATGAGGCAGAGCAGTGGGCAAAATATCTTAGACCTGGAGAAGCCATTGGGGATGGTCCATTCTGAGCTCTTCCTGTTTGAAAGGAAGGAGAAACTTGTATCCAGGAAGTAAGGTGATGAATGTCCAGTAGTTTTACTACTTGGTAACTGATGAGCCAATGCATCAAACAGGTGTAGACCCAACGTCTGCTTCTCAAATGTTTGTAGCCTTCAGGTCCTCTTAATGTGGTGGTGATAGACTCAAAGAAGCTTCTAAGAAGAAAAGATACCTGTCCTTGGGATCCTCAGGTACACAGATGTTTCCCTTCGTGTTATCTTTTGTCATGGAGGGATCACAGGAGCTTAACCTATAGAGTTTGGCATCCCCAGTAGGGAAGAAACGATGGGGAAATTTGCACAGCAAAGCCAAAAGAAAGAGTCATGGTTGAGAATGGCTATCACACATAAGTGACTAAAGCAGCCACAACTTCTGTATGGCCTCATCTTTGTGAGTTGTGTAAGAAAAGTTGGTCACTACTATGACTATTTTTCTTTTCAGTTTTGTCTATTTAGTATGACAAATATGGACCATCTGGACACAAATAGGTATTGACACAGTCTAAAGAATACATGCTGGGCAATTTTAAATTAATTTCAATTCCCCAAATCCTACATTTTTAACTTTTAACACATTCTTCCCAAGGACAACAATAAGATGTTTCAGGGGATGAGATATAATTCATTTTTTAAGTTTTTTTTTTTTTTTTTAGTGTGTGTGTGTGTGTGTGTGTGTGTGCAGGGTTTCATCATGCAGCTCAGACTCGTAGTGATCCTCTTGATTTCTGCCTCCCTAATACTGGGATTATAGGCATGCACCACCATGCTCAGACTCCATTGCCAGCTCAGTGTGCCCAGGGGCGGGGCCAGTGCAGCATTCAGTGCCAGGGATCGAACCTCTGCGCTTACCTCTGCTAAGCTATATCACCAGCCCTGATATAATTTATTTACTTCTATTTTGAGTTGTATTTTATAAATCCTCCTTGTCATAGGACCCCCTGATTTGCAGATATTCCAAATCCCAGTGCCTTATAGTTCCCACTGTAATAGATCTGTTCTACTAGGCTTTCGTCTCCAAGAACAGATTAGTTTTTCATTCTAGAAGCGCTTCTATGACCCAACAAACTGGCTATGGTATCATTTTGGAAAAGTGGAGGTAGTGGAGAAAATAGGGAGGGAAGAAACTAGGAGACTCAGGATCTGACCCTGCCACCAGGACCTTGGGAAAGTTGCTCTCTTTGGGGCGTAAGCTTCCTTATCTGTAGAAGGCTTACCTAGCAGGATGGTTTCAGAAAGGGACTGCAATAAAATGCACACCAAATCCCAGGTGTCCTTTAGATTAGGAGTACATACTATGGTTTTGTTTTTTCTCTTCTAAATTTTAACAAGTTTCAATACACTGTAATAGCTTTAAAACATTTTTTTATTTACCATGTGTGTGGTGCATAGGGATGGCACCACGGAGAGCTGGTCCCAACACACTTGTAGTGGGGAATCTGTTCCTTTCACTTGTTGGCAGGCCTGGATTTGCCTTGAAGTAACTAATACCAGTGAGTCAGTGTTTCAAGACAGAAAGCCGGGAGCACACCTTTGAGCCCCACGCTTTGGATATATATTTTCAAATTTTGGATAATATTCCATTTTCCATTTTTACTTAAGACTCTGGACAAACGTTCCCCCAGTGTGATGCTCACTTTGTCTTTGATACTGTAGGTTTCAAGTGAGATAAGATATGTACTTCCTAACGTATCCTTGGGAGCTTTTTGTTTTCTTTTGAGAAATGCTTGGAAGGCATTCTGTGGAGGATCGGTTGAGTCATCTGCGAGGTTCTGGATTTTATCTACTCATGGGCAGCTTGTCTGTTGAGCTCAGTTGTGTTGAGGCTGTTCAATCCAGCCTCACTCTACCTCACTTCGTCGTTAGTGCCCTCAGCACTTACGTACTTCTTCTTGGATCTTTATTAACTATCCACACCAGGCTAACGCCCAACTGGAGCTCAGGTTCTGACATCACTTTATTCTCTCTCCTTTGCCTTTCTTCAAACATAGATATTGATTTCCCTTTTGGCTCTGCAATTTATTGAAAAAAAATTTTTATGGGGCTATGTCACAATCTTAGGTTGTCAGTACAAATTCACTTTAAATTCCAGGGGTAATTGAGTTTGGGACATGCTACTGGTAAAACTGTGTGAAATAGACATACTTTTTGAACTATAGACACCTAAAAGAAATATTTGAATTTAAATTTACTAGGATTATTTCAAAATAGTAATAAATTACCCAGGGTGTTCTCTGACCATTTATTGAAAGCCTACCAAATACACAATTTTAGTTCCATGATTTTTTAAAAATATATGTCAGCTTCATTGACATAATTCACATACTATATGACTAACCTATTTAAAGTGTACACCTCATGGTTTATTTCATCTACAGAGTCGTGTAGTCATCACCACTATCAATTTTATAGATTTTTCATTATCCCCAAAAGAAACCTTACATTCTGGTTATCCTCTCCCTTCAAACACCGCTCCACAATCCATTCTTGGGAAACCACCGACCTACTTTTTCTATGGATTTGCCTGTTCTGGACATTTTCTATAGATGGAATCATAATATGTGGCTCTTTGTAATTAACTTCTCGCACTTAATGTAGTGTTTGCACAAGACAACTGTGTTGTACCATAATCCATGCTTCATTCTTTTCATTGCCAAATAATATTGCCTTGTGTGGGAATTTTACTATCCACTTATCCAGTGTTGAAGATTTAGTTTGTTTTCTGTTTTTATTATTATGGTTAATGCTGGTGCATATTCATATTTATATTTTTGTAGACATAGTCTTTCATTTCTCCTGGGTATGTATACTGAGGAATAGAATTTCTGGGCTATATAGTTGCATATTTTAAACCTTGGAGGAGTGCCAGGGAATGCCATATAGTCTTCAAATGCAACCCCACTGCTTTACATTCCTACTAGCAGGGTATAAGCACTCCAGGTTCTCCATCCTTTTGCTAACCCTTCTTATTATATCTTTTTGATTTAAGAATGTTGTTAATTTAAAACAGCATACTGTGTTGTAGATTATTTTAAAACTCAAAAGAAATTTCATCTACTATAGAAAAACAGAAGTAGCCCCTTCTGTTAGCGAAACTCAAAGAAAACTTAATAGAACAACATCAAGGTTTGCTGTGGGAGGACGATCGTTAAGATCCTCTCAGGAATCCAGCAGTTGCCTAGAAATTAAACTGAGGCAGGTCTGCGGGCCGACCCTATCAGTGTCCAGATTAGTGACTTTGGGCATGTGACTTAACCTCTCTGAATCTCAGTCTGAGTGGGAACATAGGGTAACTGAAAAGGTTTGAAAAGAAAGTTTTATTAAGTCCCAAGTACTGTGCCTGGTGCATGTTTCATACTCAAGAAGTATTAGTTCCTTTTTCCTTTTCAGAATTCTTAACTTGACTCACTATAGGTTTGGAGAATTGGTCAATCTCTCTCCTCTGTCTCTTTTTCTGTCTGTCTCTCTGTCACTCTCTCACTCACTCCCACCCCACCCCATTTTTGAAAATCATTCTCACATGCCCTACTATAGAAAATATTCCCCCAAATCTTCTGATTATTCTATTCTTAAATATTTTGCTTAAGGTATGCTTAAAATACTCTACAGTGAAGTTTAAGATTCAAATTGATGTTGTCAAGGTAGTGGGAAGTTCCTAGTTATCTCTGTTTGGTTTACGTTCTACTTACTAAGGAAAAAGGAAGATAAGAGACGTGAATTTCAGCAATGGTTTTTTAAACACATGTTTTGCTATTCCTGTTTGACTCAGAAATTATCTCTAAGCACATGGTTGGGCTTCAGAGCAGCCCAGGCCTCCTGGTCTTCCTGCAGTGTGTGAGCAACATTGAATCCCACAGGTTCAAAGTCAGGAAGTCTCGAGTTTTTGTCTCAACTCTGCCACTTCCTTGCTGGGTTATCTTGGCAAGTTATACAACCCCCCTGTGCCCTTTGCTTTTATCTGAGAAGTTAGAAATAATAATTGGGGCTATCTCATATAGTCCTTGGGATAATTGAGACAGTTGACATTTCTGGCATTTAATAAATGCTAGCAAATGATGAATGAAAATTAGAGCCTGCATCTTTGGGAAGGAAAGCTCTGGGCACATGATGAGCAGCACAGGAGAAGGGAAGGGGGAGGATATGCAGGCTTGCAGGTCGTCTTGCGAGAGTCTCTTTAGTCTGAGTCATCTATGAATTGAGTCAGATTCCCATTTCTCTCCCTGCCCCAAGCCAACTCACATACTCTGAATCAGAAAGAGATTTTTGAAGGCAGTTTATAGTCTTCTTTCTGTCCCTAATTTGAGTTCAGTGCCAGGAACAGGTTATGGACAAAAGCTGTCCCACATACATCTCTAGAAATAAAGTAGAAATATTTCTTCAACCAAAATGAAGTTAAAATCCTCTTTGATAATAAGACACGAAAGTGTGGAAATGTTTGGTCAAGGCCAGCCTGCCTGAGAGAGTCTGTGTAAGTGTTGGAAGGAGCAGGAAGGAAACCCGGAGTACTGAGCCCCATTTGAGAACTCCTGAGGGCCTGGCCTGCCCTACTGGGGCTTAGCAGGTGCCCTGAGACTTATGGCTGCTGCCAGCTAGCTAATATGTAATAAGGCTCGACTCCACTGCGGATCTAAGTTCCCATAACAGCTCATCACTGTTTATTCTCAGCTAAGATCTAGTGTGGTGAATGGCAGGTGCTGGTTTCTTTAGCCATGAGTGGGAAAATAGCCTAACAGAGGTTGTACAAGTAGGGAAACAGTGCGATCCAATTACTATTTTAAGTAGTCCCTAACTTATGCCTTGCAACAAGACCAAAAAGATGAGTGAAAAGAAGGCAACTCCACGTGGCATGGGGGGTAGCCCTCTCCCTTCAGGGTGAGC